GGGGGCGTCGGAGAGAAGACGGGGCGCAGCCGTCGGGGGCGTCGGAGAGAAGACGGGGCGCGGCCGTCGGGGGCGTCAGGGGAGTCGGAGAGAAGACGGGGCGCAGCCGTCGGGGGGTCAGAGAGAAGACGGGGCGCGGCCGGGCAGCGGGACCGCGGGGCAGACAGAGGCGCGCGCGGGAAGCCTCCCGAGGTGGGGGTGCTTCTCCACTCCGCAGGCGTCCGCCCCGCTGCCGCCGTCCTCACCCCGTTACTCGTGTACCCGAGTCCAGTGAAGCCTGAACTGGTGGCACAGGCGAGTTCCTGTCCGCTGCTGATGGACACGGGTCCCTGTGGGACTCTCTCCATCCCTCTGGGGTCCCCCAACCCCAACTCGCCCGCCCGCCCATGCCCACGGCGTGGCCTGCCCACGTCCAGACCCCTCTCGTGGCGCATGCTGTGGTCACCAGTCCACGCCAGGAGCGGCCTGCCCCTTCACCGTAAGCCCCGGGTGCTGGGATTGTTGCTTAGCGTGTGAGACTCGCATTTAATCTGTTGGTGGAGAGCGGAAAGAAACCAGAAGCCTTTAATTCCTGTCAGAAGTCCCCACTTCTGCCTGCATAATTGGAAGTAGGTAGGTATTTATGGTCTCCAAAAGGAAGAGTGAGAGGAAGCAGAGACCCCAGAGAGAAAAGCAGGGGTGCAAGGCAGAGGTTTAGAACGCAGGCCCTCACAGGAAAAGCAGCGTGGTGCGGACGCTCGCCATCGGTGTGGGCGAGCGAGGCAACCTTACCCGACCACGCACCCCAGACCACGGGACCTCTCTCCCGTCAGGTCACGGCGCCAAATTCCTAGTTGTTGGCTTGTCCTGAGTTGGAGATTGTGCTGTGAATCATTTTTCCCTCCCGCAAAGCCGCCCTCACTGCGCCCCTTGTTTCCATGCTTTCCTTCAAGTTCTTAGGGGTGAAGAATAAATAGCCCATCTTAGGACAGTGTTGCCTAAGTTTATACCACTAGTTTCGTTCTTTGTAAGCTTTGCATAGGAGATTATTAAAGTACAATTATTCCTTGTGTTCTGTGCCTGCCAGTCTTAAGTTTACTCTCAAATACTTGGATAGCTGCAAGTCCCTGGCGTACTCACAAGTAAAACTTCTCGTCCCACACTGGATTCAGGTTTCCGAAGATGGTTCTAGTTCTCCTCTTGTTTTTCCCAACCTGGACTGTCACGTAGGGGTCGCTCGACCCTGTCTTGTCCTTTGCTTGCAAGCCTTGGGCAGACACCACTGAAAGAGAACAGAATGACCGTCATCACGCGCGGAAAGCGCCACGGAGGCACTTCCTGCTCTTTGGTTTGCAGACGCGTGGCTGCTGCTTTTATTTGCAAAGACAATACCATTTCTAAGAGTATTTGATAAAAGAATGCGCGTGAGGTGCTGACGCCGCATGGTTTTACATCAAATGTCCCAGTGATCCCTGGCGCTGGATGTCTTCCCAGACAGCCCTGGGCAGCTGTTCGCCTCGGAATGTCTATTGGACTGTTTTGCTGATTTTTCATACAAAACAAGACTGAGATGCTGCCATTTGTGACAAGGTGGATATACATGAGGGACGTTACGTTAAGTGAAATAAGACAGACATGGAAAGAATGCTACCTAGTGTCACCCGTGTGTAATCTAGAAAGGCAATTTCATAAACAAGGCTGCAGTCGTGGCCAACAGAGTGGGGGTGGGGGAAGCCGGGGTGCCGCGCTGGCGGCGGATGCACGGAAGCACCCGGCAGTTAGCTGGGGGTTGGGCGCCAGGAGGCCTGCCCTGCGCAGGGAAGGAGGCGGCACCCCTGAGCACCACGGGATCCCGTGCCCTCTCACGCGGGGCCGGTGACGTCAGGAGTGCAGTTGCTAACTAGCTGCGTTCTACGCTCTGCATGCATGTATGCTTGGGAACATCCTGCCCACAAGACAAAAGAGGTGCAATCTGCAAGTGTAAAAAACTAAAGCTTCTTCCTTTAAAGGAGAATCTTTTTATGTATTTATTCATTTGAGCATCTTTGTTGGACTCGTGTCTCCTTCTGCCTCCAAGGAACCAAGCGCTACACCTGCCTGTCATGCCCAGTGCTCAGATCCTTGCTTGGACCTGCGCTGCTGGCACCTCGACAGCAAGAGGAGACTGCAAGTGAGCAGAGAGCAGCCCGAACAGATCCACACCCTGTGATTTAAAGGCCTTTTGTGAATTTGCAGCCAGTATTGATCCACTCATCCCAATGAAAGCATCTTTGCCTTCTAAATCCCAGGGCCTCGGTTAAGAAGCTTGGCTGGTGTTGACATCATTTACAGCCGCTTCAGAAGGTCACTGACCACGAGTGACCTTTGCTCAAGCATCAGATGCGTGGATGAGCTGTGGCTCAAATGATTTCTCATTAGAAATCTCAGCGAGCAGGTAGAAGACTGGCTGCGTTTGTAATGACCCAGTGGGGACAGTGACAAGGCTGATTTCCTGCAATCTCTGGGATGTTGGGGAGTACGTTAGAAAGACTGAGAGTGCTGCAGTGGTCTAGGGACGCACTGGGAGGTAACTCCCTGGCCTGTCAGGCACGTGCCGGCAGCACTGTGTTCTGCTGCTTTTACCCATAACTGCGCTGAGCAGTGATTTCCGAAACACACAACGATGCCAACATGTACCAAAGACTTTAAGGAAGACTGTTGTCACCTGTAATGGTTATTTTTGCAGACCACTTAGACGTCCCGTCCAACACACTCTGCTTGGCTGCCTTTGTGTACTGCACGAAGTCTTCTTTAGGAATCTGAAACATTTCCTGAATGACTTCAAACACCTCGGGCCTGTTTTTCTCCCTGATCTTCATTCTCTCCTTCATGGCTGTGATGATGGTCTGCGTCTTGTCCTCAGCGCCGTGCTTCGAGCTCTTTTCAGCAGCTCCTGCAATGGGAAATCAATGGCGGTGTGAGTGCACATCAGTTATCTTTTGACGGTGCAAAGAGAGAGAAGGAGAATGGTGAGAGGGCATAACCGTTCTCATTCTTGGGAGTCAGGGTGGCACTCAGGGAAGCAGAGGGGTGGAAGTCACTGTGCTGCGCACAACGGGGCGTCGGCCCTCCCCGGCCTCCTCGCAAGCCGATCAACTTCAGTGATTCCGAGTTCGCGCACTGTGACCCCAGAACCCAGGCCCAGGCGTGCAAACGTTTCGATGGATTGTTAAGGGAGTCAATTCACAGCCAGCAAAAGCAATGTGCTCATCTAGGATGTCACACTGCGTGTGTGTTTACACGATGACTTCCCAAGACAGGGCCGACGCCACTCAGTAATCAGAGATTCCAACACCTGGTTCTTCCAACTTATTTAATTATTTCTCCTGATGGGATTTACTACAATTAAATGTGTGAAAATTTGTCTTCTAGTTAACGTTTTCTACTTCTGCACATTGTATGTGGAGAAACAGCCCACAATGTCACTTCACATGAACGTGAGGATGTGGAACCTGCGGCTGAGCCCTCCCTGCGGGCTGCTGGCCTAGAGACCCTGAAGCGGGCTGGCACACTCCCTGGCCCTGCCCTCCCACGCTGCCAGTTTCAAAAGCTCCGTTCTCCTCGTCTGACCAAAACCGATTTTGACTTCTAGGGCATTCATATGTGTCGTGCTTTGCTTTTCGCACCTGCTTTGTCACCACCCTCGACTTTCCGGGCCTTTCTGTTGGCCACCCAGGTCCCTCTGGCAGCGAAGCATCTCCACAATCGCAGTTTGGGCCACCACACTCCCCAGCCAGGACTGGCTGTCCCCAGTGCTGCACCCTCCCGGTCGTCCCTCGGGGGTGCAGCTGTGCCTGGCGCAGCCCGAGCCCCACCCTTGAAGCTGCGTGAGTGCAGCAGGGAAGCAGAGCCTGTGTCCAGTGTCGTGGCGTCCGCTGTCCGCAGCATCCAGTGTCCACACAAGGGCCGCTGCAGAAACAGCTTGCTTCCAGCAGAGAGGCGACGGCACAAAGAAAAGGATCAAGAGGCTTTGGTGCTTGGTGTAGCTGCCCCGGTTCTCACCTGAGTGACTAGAAGAACTAACTTGTACTGTAATTTCTGAAATAATTGTATTTATGAATTTGGAACCAAAATATCTCATAAAACGTCTGGAGATTAAATGGGATAATTTATTTGCATAATCCTTGCCATTGAAGATACCTTCAGTAAGATCCTATAAATCTAATTGTGTGGATACTGAGTATAATTTAAGCATAAAAGCCCAGACAGAGGAGATCAACTACACTATTATTATTATTATTATTATTATTATTATTATTTAGTCCTGTTGAGACGGGGGCTCTCTGTGCATTGCAGGCTGGCCTGGAGCTCACTTCGTAGCCCAGGCTGGTCTCAGATTCCCAACAATCTGCCTGCCTCAGCCCCCGAGCGCTGGGATTACAGGTGTGCGCCACCATGCGCAGCTCAACTGTGAATTTTCATCAAGATAAAGTCACATACAAGGTGAAAGGACTATTTTATTGAAAAAATATTTAGAAGTATAGCATTTGTTTTGTAAGTGGAAAATATATATTCATAATAATGAGGATCTGAATATAAGAAGGTTAGATGACTGGTTCAATAGTGGAAAAAAATAGATTACTTGTCCTTATCTTTTTTAACTTAGGGCATTTAAACCACATTTAAATGAAAGCAATATAACAATAGAATTACTTCTATTTAAGCCAATCTTAAAAGAAATTCTAACAGCTGTACTCATCTTTTAAAGCACGCCCTGTGATAGCTACATATGTGCAGATTGCGGCCTTCGGCAGCTGAGCGGGCCTGCGAGTTTGTGACGACGGTGTGCTGTTCTCATGCAGAAAAACGTGCTCGTGTTGGACTAGTAGCAGCAGCCATCCGGCCGGCATAGTTGGTTTTAAAAAATGGAATATTCATTAAATGTAAAGGACAGTGGGGGCTCGGAAACATTATCCACACAGGGACAACATCCCAGATGCAGCCGGTGACGGACTGAGGACATTCAAAGGTTAGAATTATGCACATGCTGTGCTTCCGCAAGTTTCCAAGCAGCTACTGTTACTCTGGCTGTTCGTGTCCCAAGGGCTCCAGCAAGGCGTACCAGAGTCTCACGTGGTAAAATCTATTTTGAATTATTTTTGTGAATCCAGAAGAGACCAGCTCTACTGCATACACAACAAATGTTCATACAACAATTACTTCCAAACTCAGAGTTAGAATGTCAAGAGGTTTTTCATGCAAGGAAATCAAATCTCAGGCCATAAAACGGCTGCCTCTTGAATCCTTTAAGAATAATTAGGACAGCTTAGCAATTAACGCTGCAGCCGTTCACCTCGCCTGCTGCAGGAGGACAGCTGCTGCACTGCACACTCCAACACTGAAACGCCACTTTAAGGGAAAGCAGGTTAATAGGAACTTAGGCTTAAGCCTTTTATCTGTCATTTCTAGATAAGATGTTTAGGTTTTTAAAATTTTTTGCTTTTTACATTTTTGTTCTGAAGAAAAACTAATTCAACTTGGATTTATTCAGTTCAGAAGTAGACAGAAAGTCAGTTAATTCTGCCACTGGTTTACAAGGGCTTTCTTTTGCCTTATCATTTATCAAACTTACATGTCTGATTTTTTCATCCACCTGTTTCTTAAATAGTTCCATTTGGTCACGAGTGTCTAGCCCATCGGGATAGCTATTTTCCTGCAGCTTCACTCTGTTTATTTCAAAACCATCAGACATAACTTTAAATTTGCACTTATGGAAATCTTTCAAAACGTGTAGCAAGAGGTGCGGTAGCTGCCCTGGAGCACAGCGATGCTCCGGCCTCCGAGGCCCAAGGAGATAATGTGGAGCAAAAGAGCTCGCGAAGTATTAGCCACTGCCCAGGGAAGAGTGTCGTCGTGACTTCTAAAATCGCCTAACTGAAAGATCAGACAACGCAATTATGCACAAGACAACCACAAGAAAACTCAACCTTTGAGGAGCCAAAGTCCCAGGCGGGGCGAATGCTATGACCCCCCCAACCTGCAGTGAGACCCTCAGCCAGAGCGGGGTGATTCCTTGCACTTCCACTTACTAGCTCAAACATCTATTCATGTGAAATTAATTCCCACCTTCTCACAATTTCAGTGGTTTTTCCAAATGGATATTGCTTGCTGTGCCTGGTCCTTGTCCTTCCGATGTGTTTAGAGCACCTCCAAAGCTCATCTTTCTGCTACTCATGCCCCGAGTCCTCTCTTCTCAGCAACAGGCCCTACCCCACTCTTTACTCCAAGTAGGGGCCTTTCCCACTCCATGGCCACCTGGCTCTCTGTGACAGAAGGGGTGGAAAGGCAAACTGCAGACATGGACTAAGGTGTGGCACTGGCCGGTCTCTGGACTGGTCTCCAGCAACTGCCCCCCGAGCCTGCGGGCCTCAGCAGTGACAGGAAAGTGCTGCCTGCACCACACCTCCCCCTTGCAGTGCCCTGCCAAGTCTGAGCTCTGCTCAGTGTGGGCTCCAGGGTCCTGCACGCTGCTTGGAAAACAGCAGGCCTGAACAGCTGAGAAACCAAATCACCTGTCACCACGGGACTGTGAGGTGCGTGGCCAGGAATGCTTGGCTTGGCGCTGTGCTTGGCTCCACATGCACGGATCTCTGCACACTCTTACCCCAAGCCAAGACTGCGGGAAACCAGGGCACGTGGGATGAACAGCAGCACACTGAGGGGCGATCTCGGGAACAGAGGCTGCACTTGGTAGCAAGGCAGCTACGCTCACCACCATAGCACCACTGCCAGAGGGTGCACGTGGTGCCTCACGCTCACTTTGGAACTTTCAGAAAGCAACGCCCAGGGCACGGCGGACAGCAGCCCAGGTCACAGCAGACAGCAGACAGCAGGCCAGGCCACGGCGGACAGCAGACAGCAGGCCAGGCCACGGCGGACAGCAGCCCAGGTCACAGCAGACAGCAGACACCAGGCCAGGCCATGGCGGACAGCAGCCCAGGTCACAGCAGACAGCAGACCGTGGTCCCCTCCTCCCAGGACCGGTTCTGTGCAGCTGCTGCAGAGCCAGGGCTTGGATGCAGCATCCATGGAAAAGATCGAAGACAATCATCTTCAGGCAGAACACAGGTGCCCAGAGGTTGAGGGTGACACAGCATGGCAGAGGGAGACACCAAGGCTGATGGCGAGGTCTGTCCTCTACAGCTCATGTGCCGAGGCTCAATCTACAGCATGATGGTGCTCACAGGTGGGTCCCTGGACAGTCTGAGGGTGGAGCCCTGTGGGGTGGGTCCAGTGAGGCTTCTCCCACTGCCAGGTGCAGCACAGTGAGAGGCCAGCTGTGTGCAGCGGCAGGCTGTACTGTGCTGGGCGCCCTGACCTCCTGAATTTGAACAACAGGTTCTCTGGCTCATCCTCTGCTCTGGTAGAATGACAGGTAAGTGAGCTGAGTAGACACAGACAGAGGTGAAGACAGAGGGACTCAGTGAAGGATTTCTCCCGACTGGGCTGTAAGGATTTGACCCTCAGTCACCAGAACTCAAGTACACTGGGACAGGCCGTGTGGAGCCTGCTGCATGCTACCTGCACTGAAGGTGTGCAGAGAGCAAGGCCAAGGAGGTGCTCGAAGACACAGGAATGAGTTTGAAGATCCTGGAAAAAAGTGAAGCATTTTTCGTATCTTGCCATCTCATGGACCCTTACCTTCCCCTGGGGCCAAGGGGCGCTAGGAAGGGAGGAGGCCAGCACCCCAGGGCTGTGCCCAGACTCGGGTGTCACTGGTCTTTGTCTCTCCAGGAAATCATGTGGCAGCTGGGCTGCTTTGCTCCCCAGGACATCGGGTGGAACTTATGGAGCAGGCGTGCTCCCGCCTCTGTCACTGGCTGCACACCCAGGTAACCTCGACCTCCCCTCTCCCCTACTCCAGTGTCCCAGAAGTGGCCAGGGCACCCGGCT